ATACCCCATGAATTTGTTTTATTCGTAGATTTATAAGCCACCCATGATCCTCTGCACCTGTTGACCTAACGAGCCTGAAGCTCCGAAATTCAGGATAATGATCACGATGACGAAAAGGTGGTTGTTGCAGAAAACGTTTAAGTCAATATTTCTTTAAGAATATCGACCTAGTGATTAAAAAGCTCTCATTGGGTGTTTACCATTTACACAAAATTTCCGGAAATTTTCGGTTCAATGACCACAATTGYAAATGGAACAACTTTTCCCTATTTATTTGCATAACAAATTATCGGGAATTCCGTTTAGAAGCTTATTGGAACGCACCCCCATTCCAAATTTTCAACGAGAATTTCCGGTAAACTTTGGTGCTGGTCAAAGAGTACTCCCTTTCTTCCCGTTCATGATTAAGAAAGTTGGTCGAGAGAGCAGCTGTAAAGGCACGACAGTTAAGTCAAAAATATTGAGAGCAATCCTAAGCGAATTACAATAAAGAGAGATTCTTCCAGCTCAATCAATAGATTCAATCTATGTGCAAAAACTTCAAAAAGAATTCCTGAAAATGTATGGAAATATTTTTTAAATCGCCAAATAACTAGTGAATAACAGTACTGTGAGCAACAGCACGTCAGCGCGTACGCATTCTGTGAGGATTAATCAAAGTTTGAAATTGCTTTTACTGAAGTAGGGGAAAATATTGGAAAAAAGAAAGTGAAGATATTTCGAGCTTTGCAAAAAAGTAAAACGGTCCGATACCGATCTTATAACCTCGTTGTTGGCCAGAAATCAGAGAAAAATTAGGACTTGTTTTCCAAAGGTATTTGTGCTTTTTCAAACCTATTAGCTGTGGGCATTTTGCCTGTTTGGGCGATGTTTTGTGCTAGCAACTCAAAAGTTCTTCTTGTCTTCCTAAAGTGGCTTTCGAAGATGATGCAATATTTTGGATGACAACTTCAAAAAAAATCTTCGTTTCTTGGCAATACACGTCGCATAAAAACCGATTCCATAAGGGTTAATTCTTGTTTGCTGTTGTCAAAAATGAATTTTCAATTTCATCAGGTAGCAGATTCAACCAACATTAAAGTGCTAAGCAAGTTAACCTCCATTTCGTTTTATTCACGTCTTTTGAGCTGCATGAAAATGCGCCAATTGCTACAAAACACACTCTAATCCGATTGCATATTTGGAAAGTTCTAATACGTCATGTTCACTGACCCGAAACTTTTGATCACTGATCCGAAAATTTCCGGAAATTTTGTGTAAATGGTAAACACCCATTATATTCCAATCTTACCCAATC